GTCTACCAGGATGCCCTCGAGCAGGAGCAGAGTTTCGTGAACAACCTCACACGCACCATGTCCCTCACGCTGGACACCTTCTACGAGAATCTGGTCACCTGCGGTGTCTCGGCCAAGACGGGCGTCGGCTTTGCCCAGCTGCTGCAGCATGTTCTCGACTGTGTAAAGGAATACGAGAAGGACTACAAGCCCGTGTATGAGAAGATGCGTAAGGAGCGCATGGCCGAGCAGCAAGCCAAGCTCCAGCCGTCATCCACTGTTGAGGATTCTGGCACTGCAGTGCCCATGGGCGTGGACCTCAAGGATCCACCGCCATACTCGGGCAACAACATGTTCCTGATGGCCCCTGGCCTGGTGCCGCAGCAAATGGACTCCGAGGAACTGGAGGATGACACGGAGACCGATGGCAAGGGCAACGCCGAGGAGCAGAACTTCCACACATTCGTCCAGAGTCATCTCACGGCACAGGAAAGCAAGCGCAACAAATTCATGCAAGAGCAGCAGAAGCCCTAATTGAAATGTAAATATTTGTTGTAGCTCTTAAACATAATTTTATTGTTGTGCCGAAGGAAACACAAACTAAAGCTGAGATAATATATTTATTATGCATCGAAATGTAGTCCGATTAGACTGATTTTGTGTGCTGAATGCCTGCAACTTGCAATGTCTGGAGTCCAAGTTGCCTTAGCAACAACTTTCAAGTCAAAGAAATCAAAAGTAAAAGCACACACAAATTGTAATTTTCTGCTTTTCCATTTCCTAAAATGTTGTCCAAGCATCTTTTTACTTTCGGTCAGCGGCTAGCTCATCAGAAAAGTGTTTTTAAGGGTCCAATGCTTCGCGCATCGCTGGAACCAGAATGTGACACCGCCATACCTCATGCTGAGAAAACGGTCTCCACCATGCAGCTGCCTGCTTATATAGATCCAAAATGTGTGCTACAGGAAGCTGTCTATGAGGGGAAGGAGCAGCCCAAAAGCTACGACTACAAATATCATGCATATTCTCTATACGATTTGAACGAGGCCACAACCCGTTTGGCCGAGCAGCAGACCAAGAAGAAAGACAATAATTAATGTTTCTGTAAAGTTTCAATATTTAAATACTGTAAAAATACACGCCAAATTAATAATAGTAATAATTCTGCCCAGCTCTTGACCTCGACCTCAATTTTGTGTTGTCTGAAAATTGTCTAACAAATTAACATTGAAAAATCGCTAAAACAAGAAAGTTTTTAAACAGTTTAAAAGAAACAAATAATCAACAAATCGTAAAAGTATTTTCAGTAGCTGTTAACAAAGTAACCTCACCAAATTCATTCACAAAACACATTTGCGCTGGCCCCAATATATTTTCTAAATTGTAAACAGATAAGCACGTAAAAATGTACAAATTTCTCTCGCGTCGCCCGTTTAGCGGCAAGGTGAAGAAAATGTCGAGCAAGCTCTCAAATATTCAACGTCCGCCCAAGGATCCACCAGATGAGGGTTACGAGCCGACTTGCATCGATCATGATGGCATTCAAGTGGCGGACTTTGTGAGACCTGCAGCCTTTCGGCAGTTTAGTGGCCCCGAGGAAAAGTTGGGTCCAGGCGCCGGCATAGGGCTGGAATACAAGAATGCACATTACTTTGCCTATCATCGTTTCTCTTTTCTTGAGCTGCAGAATCAGGCCTTGGAGTTGCGAGATGAGCGCCGACTCAGTGGCGGAATCCAAGATGCAATCGAAGCGGACGAGGAGGAGGAGTGCAACGAAGGCAGTGTAAAGGCCATGAAGGAACTGGAAGCGGAGTGCGAGAAGATAATCGCTGTGCAGGCCAAGCAGCTGGAAGAGGCCAAGAAACAGCAGGAACTCTGCGAAGCGCAAGAGAAGAAGCGGCAGGCGGAGGAGGAATGGTGCAAAAAGAAAGCAGAAGAAACAAAAGAGGTAAAGCTGAACGCGCTGCTAGAGATGACGGATGAGCAGCTGAAAGAGTGGTGCGAAAAGTCACTCAAAGCACAACTGCTGGAGAAGAAGAAGTCAGGGGAGGAAGATAAATGTGCAGCGGAAAAAATTAAGAAATGTGAGGAAGAGGACAAGAAGGAGAAGGCGGAAAAATGCGAAGAAGAGTTCAAGAAAAAGGAAGCGGATTTACAGATGAAATGTGAGGCAGAGCAAAAGAAGAAAGAAGAGGAATTGAAGCTGAAGTGTGAGGCAGAGCAAAATAAGAAAGAAGAGGAATTGAAGCTGAAGTGTGAGGCAGAGCAAAAGAAGAAGGAAGCCAAATGTGGGTTGGAAGATGCAAAGAAAAACGAAGATAAGAAGCCCAACACTGGAGCAGATGGGAGCAACAACAATAAGAAATAATATACTAAGATGTGCGATTATGGGGCCACAAAAAAATTAATTAATTAGTTCACTAATTGGCAGCCCAAAACTATGTTAAAGTTTTGAAATAAAGTTGCCGACACCAAGATGGCGCCACTGCATCAAGCTGATTTTTTCCAGCTCTAGAATGATCATAAAAACCCATAGGTGGCGCCAGAAGCACACACACAAAAATCAATGCAGTTTGAGAAGCACTTGACGTATGTAGTCTTTCGGTATTTATCTGCCTTGAGTTTCAACTTCGCTTTGATGGCCACCTCAAAGACTTCAATTTGAATTGTTAATAAATTCGCATAAAATCAATCGATACGATTTCTCACCGCTCAACGGGAACGGGGTTGCTGCACAATTTCAGGGACAAATCCAATACAACCAAGGCAAGATCCGCTTTGTGGCTGGGGTAGCGTGGCACGGCGAGAGTGTTGTGACGTCTTCATACATTCATTCATTATATGGGTAGGGGTTTGTGCCTAGGCATCACTTTTGCATTGATCTCCATGATATGAAGAGTCATTGTCATCACATGTTTCCGCGCTCACCTCACTAATTAACGCTAGGAAATTCCCCGAAGCCCAGAGAGAGAGAGAGAGAGAGAGAGAGAGAGAGCGGAACTGCACTCAATTGCCGCCTTGTGATCCAGCCAGCCCCTTGTTCTCTTTGCCATTTGTACATATTTCTTTTGGATAATATTTAATTGGAGTGTTTTTAATTTTGCTTGAAAAAGTGTAAATTTCATTTAATAATATAGTGAGAGGGGAATCCGAAATATTCGGTTTTTATTCCTATATACAGTGACTATTTTATAACTATTGCCAGCGACCGCTGTTCCCATCCTCTAACCTCAAGGAAGCTCACTTGCCACAGGGCTAAAGACGGGAAATAAACCAAAGAAAAACCTCTGGCAACCGCCAAAAGCTGTTGGCCATCTCGTTTTGCAGGCATTTAAGCTGAAAATTGCTGCGAAAATATTTGCACAGTCCACAGGCCCAAGGCATACACAGATTACACTCTCCCTCAGCCAGTACTTTGACTTTGGGCAAGGGTTTGACGAGCATGAAAGAAGTGACTGATAAGTAAGAGCACTATGTCTATACATAGTCAAAGCATTTATTACTCGTTGCAATAAGTTTTTCTAAAGCTAGTCCAACCGCATGACTGACATTTTCCATATGTAATTTCAGTTCACATTGCAGTTGTCCCTCTGCAAGAGTATCCAAAGGCAGCTGCTCATTTCTTCAGCTTTTTCTGCAGTGTTTTGCAGCACTGCGAAATGCATCTGCATTGATGCGTCGCCAAATGTTTACCCTAAGCCCATAGCTGTTGTACGCTCTCTCGTTGTGGCACTTAGCTATGCAATTTGCTGAGCTCTGACTCTGTCTGCGCTCTCTCTCTCTCTCTCTCTCTCTCTCTCTGTTTGGCATACAAAATGCATCTAATTTTGGGCCTAACGACAACTTGTCGCTTGTCATGGTCTCCCGGTCTGATCGTTGTTGCTGCTGCTATTTGCTTGGTGGCATGCCTCATCATCATTTGCAACTGCTGGCAGCACCAGCTGCCTCACTTGGGGTTCAACTGTGCTTTTAGCTGCGCTTCGTAATCGCAGCTCATAGATCATGGAAATGCACCGGAGAACAGAGCGAATCTCTTTGTCTTATGTGAACCAGGTCCAGTTCCCATCAGACAGTACAGCGACTGGGCAGGGGGGAACTCGATCACATTCCAACGCACAGCTGGCCTGCCCACCCACACCAATGGAAACAGATTTTTCCCACTGACCAAATGACAGGATCTCGACCATTCCCACCGTCCATGCAACATTTTCCAGCCAAGTCCGGGCCAAATGCAAATTAGCCTTCTCATTTTCGCTCTGATTAAAGGTAATTTTCAAATTTCCCAAACATACACACTGCGCGACACCAGGAACGGAAGGGGAGGGAAGGGAAAGGACGGACCAACAACAGCAGGCGGCAACTTTGGCACTGCAATTTCGATCTCGCCTGTCGTCCATTTAATGATTTCAAATCGGAGCAGCAAGCAAAAACATGTTGGATGCCATGCCCGGCCATGCCTCTTGGATGTTGTCTTGGACCATGTCTGTGTGTGTGTTTGTCTCTCTTGGTTCCAGCTGTGGCTGCGGGAAATAAGAAGAAAATTGCCGAAACTAAAACCAGAACGCGTGCGCATTGAATTATGCAAAAATGTTAACCATTTGCCGCCAATCAATTTGTTGTGCTTCCTTCCCCATCTGTGGGATTTTCTTTCCGATAAACAATGAACGTGGGCATTAAATATGCCATTACATTGTGGCTCATTTATTTGGCTTGTGTCCATGTGTATGTGTGTATGATGTGTATGCTTTAGCATCGGCTATGGCGACGACCGACAACACTGAAAATCAGCTGTTATTTCACTGCTGGTGGTGCTGCTTTTGCTGATGCATTTAATACTGTTGCTATTGTTGTTGTGGCTGCTGATGTGCTGTTTGTTGTTGGTGGAAAACGTTGTGTTCTTCAGCTTAATCCCATCGTGTCCGCTTAGCTGGCTGGGTATGAAGAGCGGCCACAGCCGCCACGCGCTGCTGCTTCTGGTAGTCTGCCAGAGACATGAGATTGGCATTCTGGTCGGCTGCGGAGCGGACCAACGGCGTTGGGGTATTCCATTTGACGAAGTTAACCTTAACGTTGGCCCGATTGCCAATGAGCAGGCTGTTGTCGACGTACTCGCTGGGCCAATAGTCCTCGAACTCGGTGCCATTGGGAAAGCCGCTCTTGATGTCCGTCAGCGACATGACGGCCACGTTCTGGCCGGAGTAGTACTCGTTGGCCACGCCCTGGACCTTGCAGCAGAACTTTAGGTAGGCCAGGTCCCAGCCATTGAGCAGCACCGTCTTGGTCTCCAGGTTCTCCGTCTCGATCCGAAAGTAAAAGAGTGGCAGCACCCTCTCTTTGTTGTGCACCGTGTACGGGATGACGGACTCCTTGTTAATCCGGATGAAGCCAAATTTATCCGAGGACTTGCTGCTGCCGGTCTTCAGCTTCCGATAGCAGGCGTTCAGGAATTGTTGAAGGCTGAAGGCATCGCCAAGCCGCACCACCAGATCCTTTTTCTTGAATTTGTCGCACCCGAACTGGCCGTCACAGTGCTTGGCGTTTACCTCGTTGAACAGACGCGCCTCCGCGTCTGTGATGTAGTAGCTGGGCATGTACACGCAACTCGCGTATATTTCCGGCTGGAAGTAGTTGAGGTAAGTGCCGAGCTTCAGCTCGAACATGCGCGCCGAGAAGTACTTCTCACTCCCGGTAGATGTCTGCCGGTAGATGTACGGAAGGTAGACCTTACCGACCTTTGCCCACCCGAAGCGGCCCATGCGCGACTGCTCGTCGCATGGCCCGCCCGAAGAGGACTTCGCCTCGCCTGCGACGCTGTTGATCTGCAAATCCTTCTTAGACATGGCTCCCTGTTTCTATCACGTTATTTTCTCTCTCGTTCACCGCTTGTTAAAGCGTTGCACTATTTTTTCTCACTTCCCTGCCGTTTGTTGACATTGTTTGCAAAGGCTCCTTAGTTATTGATTCAAATAAAAAAATGTATCTGGAGTACTATTAAATATGTATTATGTAAAATGTAACTAAATTTCCATACTTTTAAATGCACTATGTAGGGGCAGTTTTTTGTTTTTTATTTTTATTTTTTAACGAAAACAAAAGCCATTTTCCAGCGACCACTTCTTGGGAATTTACAAATTACAAGCTACCATTTTAGGTTTACTATAAGTGAATAATTGCTCTCTCCATTCCTCCCTCCATGTACTTCCCAGTATTCTCGCTTAACCATAGATCAAAAGAAACCGAATCGTCTTGCCCTGGCTTGCCCCTCCCCTTAATTCAATTGTGTAACTCGAGTACAGACTTATCAGCGCACAAAGGTGTCTCATAAATACAAATACATACATAAATGTATGTAAGTATGTACAGATGTATGTAAGTGCCGCTGGCAAACAGGAAGCATCATCATTATCTGCCCCCATCCAGACGACTGTCCAGGGCACTCAGGCGGAACTTGTCCAGGAAGGGTACTGCCCGTACTCGCACCAAAACAAACTTTGTGCAGGAACTTATTTGATTCTTGCTTTGGCCGAGTGCAAAAATTTTAAGCAAAACTACAAAATGTATGCATGACAAAACCATTTAAGCAGGAAAAGGGGAAACCCTTGGCTGGGGGAACTCTCTCACACTTGCTCAGGGCCCCAGCCCCCGTCCATTGTAATGTGCTGTAATTTGTTGCCGTAGTCGTTGTTAGTGCTTCCTCTTTGGCATACTTAGTGCTAAAGGAAAGAAAAAAAAAGCGAAGAAGAAAAAAAGTTAATTATCTTTTTTTTACCTCTCTCTCTCTCCGGTCTGGGATCTCGGGCTCTCTTGGCATGGCATGCCCAACAGCTTCCATTGGGTTATTATCCATGGGTTTTGTGCTATTCTCTGGGAGATTGGTACTTTGTTCGTTTCTTCTCACTGCTCCCCTCTCTCTCTCTCTCTCTCTCTCTCTGTGTTTTCATTCGCTGGTCTGGAACAGTGGAACGGCTGGTTCATTGAACTGTTAATTGTGGGCACAAAAAAATAAAAGAACACCACACATTCGAGAACTCTGGGCGGTGTGAAAGGTGATTTTTCAAGGCTGCCACCATGTCCGGTAAACGTGTGCCCCCATCTGGTTCCCAGACACAGACTTCTTTTAATGCTTGTAAAACTTCAATTTTTTCGTTGCCTTTTTGTTTTTTTTTTACTTTTGATTATTTTTGAAAGCTTCTTCTCTCTCTCTCTTTGCAGTTTGAGCATTGAAGGTGCTAATGAGTCCGCTCTAATAATTAATTTTACACAAGAATGAAAAATTTAACTTTTGAGTAACCGATTTAATGCAGTTCACACATTAACACAATTATCAACGGTGTTTTGGAGTTTGATTGAGATGAGTCCCGCACCATAGATGCCACTAAGAGATCACGGGTTGTATAGAAAAACCCCCGTGAATTCTTCCAGTGCCATTAACTGTGCCGGGATGTGGATACACTTCTTATTTCACTTTTAGGCTTTACTTTTCAAATGCACTTTAGTATTGAATTGTTTACTTACCTGAGCTTACCTTAGAGTTTTCCTTTATCCCCATTAAAATTCCCTTAAACTTGAAAATATCTACGCCTTTGCCTCCATTCTTTCACATTGTCTCAAGACTCTCCCACAAAACCTGTGATCTGAAAATCAAGGCTTTAAAATCTTTCAAATACTATCCCACGTTTGGGCCAGGCCAGGCCCCGACCAGTTAGTTCACCTGCCTGGCTTGGATTGGATTGGCTGGGCGAACTTTTGATAAGATGGCTTTGATCTATCCCACGATTTAATCAAAAACGCAAATTTCTGTTGTTGTCTCTTCTTCTCTGTGTTTTCTGCGGCTGCTCGCGGAAGTGGCTTTTTCTACTGCTTGTTTTTTTTTTGTATATTTTTTATTTCCATTCATTGGGGGCATGCGTGGGAAATCCATGTTGCATGTCTCTGTGTCTCCGGTGGCTCCCAACTGCGGTTGGCCGCATAATTTGCTGTGAAAATCATTTTGCGGCTGCGTGTTGCATAAAATTACAATTGCAATTTTTTTCTCTCTCCCTTTCCTTGTTTGTGGCGCAGACGGGAGCCAATTAAAAATTATAATGGCGAATAAACTAATTAAGCAAGATAAATATTAGGAGCATTTCCATGCTCTAGTGGACAAGTGGGAGAAAAGTTGAGTGTTCGGGAACACGAAAGATCCCAAAGAATTTAATTTTCTTCGCATAAAGATCATTCATCACGAATGGAAATGGTTCACTGCCATAGGAAGCTGCTCACTGCACAACATAACTTTTGATTCCATCTTTTATAGAAACAGATCATTGATCGACTGGCTATCATCGCGTTGAACATCTTCCCCTGGACAGGAAACAACTACGGGGGGGCTACCCAAATTGACTTGTCGTTGCCCAAACAAATTGTAACATCAAATTGCTTTGGACATCTGTGACCCCTGGGACCTCTGTAATGATCCGTAGATCTCTGGGAAAACGTCGCCAGTCACGAAGAAAGCTCAAGTTTCATTCCCCCAACTCGCTCACTGGTTTCGTTTCGTTTCATTTGGTTTTTTTTGCGATTTTTCTATCCTCTAGTTTGGTTTTTTGGTTTTTTTTTTGTTTTAGGCCAATTTATGCAAATGCCAAATGCTGCTCCACTTGAGGTAATTGCCACTCGTTTTTTTTTTTCTCTCTGGTTTCGTTTTTGTTGGTTTGCTTATCAGGCAACGGTAAATCAGTACGTCTGTGGCATAGACATGCCGAGCATGCGCCGTGAGGCGACAGCCATCAATCAAATTGAGAGGCCGGCAATCAAATGCGAACGCAGGAAAGAGACGAAGCCACAACCCCCGAACAGAAACAGTTAAAAAATCAACAGCTGCCTGTAGTTGGGTCTCTCTCTCTCTCTGTGTGCATGGGCAGTGGAGTAGGCAAGAGGGTTAAGCTCCAGCAACAAGGAAATATAAAAATATTTATTACAAATTTTTAGTTTTCCTGTGCTAATAAAATTAGCTAGGGCGTAAAAAGAACAATAAATAGTTTCAAACCCCTCTGAATACCCCTCGAAAATATCCTGTCTACACCCCTGTTTATGTGGATAATCGCGTGTTTCTCCATTTGCCGATCTCCAACACGATTTTTAACGACAAATTTACGCGCTTAATCTCGACAACAAAATATGCAAATGTGTGCGGGACGAGGTGTGCTGTTCTGTTCGAGTAGGAGGGATAAGGAAGGGAAGAAGAAGTTGTTTTTTTAACGATTCACCATGTTCATTAGTGCCGACACTTGAGTACACTCACAAACAGAAGAGCGAGCTCCCCCCTCCACAACCAGGCAACAGACTCTTTAATGTTTAAGTGCGTTTCATTAATTGAAATGGTCAATTTGTAGTCGCAGATAAGAGAGGAAGTTGCTGGCAGAAGTGGTGGCAGTGGCACTGGTCAGTCCATCCACTTCTCAATTGTGGCTGGTGTTATTATGGTGCTGTTATTGCATTGATATTTCCACGGAGGAGTCAGGAATCGTGTTGCCGTTGCCGTTGCCCTATATGGACAGATTGTAAGAGGAGTTTGATAGTTCTCTGGTTTTGTGGCGCCAGCAGACTTCCATTCATCAGGCAGGCTGGCCGGCGGTGACAGCGGTAACTCGAATGCATATTAATAGGAATTCCAGCCAGAACGAAGTGGGAATACTCTCCACCCATGGAATGTTGATTGATGAATGTGTGCAAAAGAAGATAAATTAAATATGAATTTCATTAACGGCGGAGTATGCATTGTTCATATGTAGACCTGTATGTTTAATGTGCGTAATTGCAAAGTTTTTTACATCGTAAAGATAATATTGAGCTATAAAGTTCTAGAAATAAATATTATCGGTACGGGCAAGACGGACACATCCGTTACAAATCGCAGAGAAAAGCCGAGTAAGTTAGTTGAGAGAGTGCATGACACACATGGACCCAAGCAACAACAACAACTGTTTACATCCACTTGGTCATGGGGACAACAAAAAAACACATCGCCCAACGGTAAGCGATCAACGGAAATCTCTCTCTCACTCACCTCTCCACCCATCACCCTCTCACTACATCTCTCTTGATATGGGTGAGGCTCTAACTGTTTATCTAGCGGATTGATTTAACTCTCTCTCTCTTGCGGTGTTCTCTTTCTGCTACAGCTCTGATTTAAGTGCGAAGTAAAGAAGGCAGCCGCTGCTCTGCGACAGATGCATACGATTCAAAGTGATATTTGAGGGTGGGTGGAGGACTATGAAATTAAATACAAATCAAATCTGTAACAAATGCTACTAGCTCGCTTAGTCAGTTTTGAATGGCCTCTCAACTCATTTTTTCCTCACGCTTCTCTGAAGTCAAATGATCTAAAGTCGAAACAGCAACAATACAATCTTACATTGTCTTGTTCTAATTTTCTGAGATGACAATGCTGATTGTAATCGGGGGAAAAAGATGACTGGAATTGGGTAAAAAGATGATTGAGAAGGGGGCATGGAATGGTGTCGCTGACGCCAACACAGGCCAATGGGATAACGGTACATGAACAAACGCACACTCAAGCACTCAAATAAACACACAGGCAGTGGCCGAAACGAAACAATTGCTGTTGTTGCCCAGCTCCAGCTCGAACTCGAATTCGAATTCGAGCTCCAACTTCAACTGGAAACCAATTGGCATTTCAATCACGCATCAATCTGGCACGTTTTTATGATGCAGATCACAAGCCGAAGCGAAGCAACAACAAGAAACAGCTACAACAATGTGGCTCATGATTATGATCATGATGAACATGCTGCTGCGGAATGAGGATGAGGATGACGAACTGGACACAGCACGAGCG